TGTAAGTACCTTCATATGCGTTTATTTGCACCTAAATTGACATAAACCACATTTTATAAGCCATAAATTTCACTGCGGTTWTAGTGCAACCACAAAATGAAACGATAGCATTTCGGCAATAAGCAATATTTTCATATAAATGGGTGGAAGTGATACTCAAATTCTCTGGTGGTATTTGTTTGGAAACACATACATRCACATATTAAATAAACATACTTGAATTGAATATTAAAAACACACAATTTTCTGCAAAATAATAATATTTACACAATTTAGCATGCAAATTATACAATTAAGCAGCATTTGGGGTGGGAAGARGAGTAGTCGGAGGATTCAAATCAATCCAAAAAGTCTGACTCCTTACGCGTATATTACTTCAAAGTGTAAAGTTATGGGTAGATGTTATTTAAGAGAGGTTCGCCTTCTATTTGCCTTCTCAATCCAGTATTATCTTGCATATGAAGTCTAGCTAAAATTCGCTTAAAAGTTTTTTAAAAACAATCTTGGATTCGAATAATGATTTTTTTACATTCACCTTAGAAAGAAGACTTCAGTTTATAGAGAACCAAAAAAGTTTCAAAACTCAACCAAATATTTCAGCTACAAGAAACTATAGCCAATTAAAACCTTCCTTACTTCGGTCTTAAATCTCAGTCAAGCGGATTAAACCAAGTAAATATAGGAAAAGCTAAATGGCTGATCTAGASAGATCTGGACTACTATGGGTAATCTTTTGGGAAGCATAGAAAACAGGAACTCCTGTATTCRTACTTATAAATTAGTAAAACACTTAGTAGCAAGTACAAATTTGCACCGGCGGTTAATTTCCGTGCCTGCCAGTTTGGTGCGATGTCTGAAAGTCTGTGTTTAAGTATTGACCTCCCAAACGCGGGATAGTCACGAAGGAAGTGTTGGTTGTATCCTCATCTTCGTCAATACAGCTTCTGCAGATGGCGTCTGGTAAGATTCCTAGCCTTACAGCGTGAACAGCAATAGGGCCCATGGCCTGTGAAAAGCCCCACAACTAGAGAGAGGATAGCCTTACTGAGTGCAAARAGATCAMWMGATCTCTTMTGGTCGMTMTAGKTCCAAAGGCTTGTGCGACAGYGCAYTTACCGATKGYGGKCCAGCATTGACCAAGTTTCCGCGCAGCCAAACCATCTAGTAGTAGAACACAGGGCATACTTAMGGAAGTRCCGATCCGCTYCCACTCYASCGATARCGGTTCTAGRGTGCCTTTTCTTGATAGCTCATCAGCYTTRCAGTTTYCTGCGATTACGCTCTWGYCTAGCACCCATAMCAGCYKTATCTCTCGATGCTATWGATATTGAGTTTAAGCACTCCTTGACCAACCTTGCATGCACTGGTTATGAATTCAAGGCTGGTATGGTCGCTCTGCTAACTGAGTGGATGGTCACTTTGCTGAAAGTGGCTGCWCTCCGGAGCTGTTAATTTACTCATATCTTAATGGCTGCAAACTCGGCTTGAAAAGCACTGCAATATACAAAAAGTCTGAACCCGGAGTGGATAGATAGCTCCTGATAGTATATCTCTTCATCAACCTTCCGTCAAGCTTTGACCAATTCGTAAAGAAGCTCATTACATTTATAAAAAAAAAAATTCTATTTAGGTGAAGACAGATTGGTTCATAATTTTGACCGAAAAAGAAGAAACTAAGATGACTCTGTAGGGACGTGAAGTCTGCTTTTTCGAGAGGCATTTGTAGTTTGTCATATAAATCAAAGCTTTTTAAAAGGAAGGTTMCCAAAAATTAATATAATCCCTTATCTATATACTAAAAAACAACTGTGATAGGGCTCTTCCACTAAATCGGAAACAATGTATTTCAGCTCGAGTTTTACTGCTAATATATATACTTACATTTTGAAACGACAAACAGTAAGTACCAACACACATTGTTTTCAATAATTCTCTGCTTTCTAACAAATCCCTTGACAAAAAGCCCAAAATTAGCTGTTGCATAAACAAATTAAAGTTGCGGATAAACAAGCGCCTTGCCTTTTTTCAAAATTCCCAATTTGATTAGCGCGTATTTTGCTACCCAATGAACTCTACTTGGACGCTTCATCAACCGCGACCTAATTAAATTAAAAATTTGCCATTTGAACGCTGGCAATGAGAATAACAACGTCAACAGCAGATGCGAGGACGTAAACAACGCGATGTCAAAACATACATATATATAAATTATTAGAAAGGCAAGTGGTTGATACGCTGGCGTAAAGTATAGTGATGAATCGAGTAATTTGAAGTTCGCTTATTAAATTTTGCTAACCAAATTGTGCTGTCATTAAAATCTCAGATGACTAGGAAATTAAAGAAGAATGACATAATTAAGAAAATAAATTAAATAGATTTGTAAGAACTGGTATCACAGAGAGAGACTGCTAGTCCATAGCACATTTTGTCAATGTTATGGGAGTTCAGTTATAATGGAAAGTAGTAACTTATAAAGAGTCTAACGAAACTGATACATAATATATTTATTTATTAAATTTTATATTTTTTCTTATCATCATGCCCTGCTTTGTAATTTACAATCATTACACTTTGAACTAAAAAATGCTACCTTTTTTGGTGTTGAATTGTTGCCTACATCTAGGCGCATTTTCTTAGCTAAGTTACATACCTACCACGCTCGTTTAAAGTTATTTTTAATCCTTCTTTTTTCAAATCTGATATTGCCATTTTGGATACAAATTAACTTGGAAGGTTATGCAGTTTAAATGTAATCATATATTAGCAGAATATTTCACAGATAAATGCATCCGATCCTATTTTCTGCAGTAGTAAGTCGCAACCAATCGATGCTTTAAARYTTCAGCTCACCTTTRCCACGAYATTTGTTAAGTTTGTTGYCTRTTKCTGGGYCCTAAGCATAGCCCCAAGACTCATCGTCAGTATTAAATAATATTTGTTTAGCCATTCTGGCACTCGGAAAACATTGTTTCACAGACGTTAACGCGACGCTTTATTCGAAAAAATTTAGTGAATTTGGAACCAATCGGGCTTTCACTTTTCTTAGATCTAAATCATTTTTCAAAATGGTTTTGAATGCTACTTCGAATATTCCAAAGATGTCAGTAGGATATCTGAGTGTTAATCGTTGACTTTCAAGCACCAATTTTTTTATWTTATTGACGTGATGTTTCTTCGTCAACGTGTTCTGAATAATTTTTAACAATCAAAAATACTTGCTSGCGAAAAATAGTTAGCACCGAAGGGCTTTTCAAGTAGCGCCGAAACACATTTGCTACACTTGAARTTCTTTATCCAAAATCATCTATCTGCTAATCTGCTGTTAGAAGGAAGGAAATTGTTATTGGTGTGATCAGTATAGAGAAGGTGGTGATTTGAAATCCTCGTCGGGTCAAAAACTGTTATGGAAAATATTTTGTTATGTAGTTAGTTAGGAAGAGGGGCTGTTTGAMGTAGCGCTTAGGTTTTTAGAGGGATCACTGTGATAAAAAAATAATATTTCGTTAATGTTATGAGGCCAATAGAACACTCCATGGCATTTGACCACAAGGACCCATAGCAAAACCCATCAAGTCAAAAATATACAAAAGTCTCAATTTAGACTTCGAAAATATTAACGAGATATTTGACATGATTTGTGGCCTACATAAAAAACGTATTTTTTTAGCGGTGATACACACCTCATTTAGTTAAAGTAAAATTATGGAATTTAATTAATTACTTTTATTCGAAAATGTGTAGTAGAAACGATTCTTAGAAATCTCTGAATAATTATTTATTATTTAAGCTATCTTTCGCTTTTAAAGACTTTTTTTTTATCGAGAAATATATGTAGCCTAAAATTAGGTGCATTTTGGTAGCAAAGACACACACTCCATAAAAAAAAAAAACACTTAGCTTCAAATACTCAATTTTGTTCTACACAAAGGAAATAAAGAAAGACTAAAATAAAAATACTCAATTTTATTCTACRAAAAGTAATGTATGCTTTATTATTACAAAGAATATGTATAGCAGGTATTTGTATTAGAATTATTCTTCAGGCSCTTAAAAGAAAATGGCATTCAAAAYTCCCTAGTTTATCTATTATTTTCCTTTTCGTATTTTCAATAAAATTTCGTAACGGCAACCTTTCTCAATCGAATTTTTATTGTCTCTCATACACTGCGAACGAAAAATATAGCACACAAAAATATCTAAATCGCGTTTAGACCAAGCAAAAACCAAAAACTTAAAAAAAAAAACCAGGCGCTTCTCGTGCAAATTAACTTAAAGGAGTTAGAAAAGGCTTAAAAGCAATTTTGTAAATGTCACGGAAAAGTCCTTTAGTGCCGCTTAAGCCTGTAACGCTGCAAGGATGCTAGAAAATTTTTCAAGACATAATGAAGAAAATAAGATGGTAAGCGGCAAGAAGTCGACGCTCGCGTTAGCATTGTTTAATCCTCAAGGATGTCTGACGCACACATGCATATACATACACATACACGCAGCAACCGGCTGATAGACAATTSTGCCGCTATGCGCTACTTGCCTTCATTTAGCTAGTTCATTGCAGCAGAAGGAAAAAAAGGAGTAAAACAAAAACAAAACAGCCCACTCCAGCCGAGTGTGCTTGTCCTCATTCTGATTTATCCCTTTCGCTCACTCCTTTAACGCATTTACCGTTCTATGTATGTATTTTTATACACAACTCTTTACAGCATTTCCCACTTACACTTTAAACCCGCCCAGCTATACGTCGCCCGACGCGCAATTGCCTGCCTTCAGGTAATTTGTAGCGCTAATTACTCGGTATTTGTTGTTCGAATCCCCAGGTTATTTGTCCTTTAAAGAGCTTTGCAAATTATTTGAAATTTTTCTCGCTACAATTCTTTTACGCCGCTGCTGGCAAAGTTACTTCTCTTTGCTGGATTTTTACGTAATTAAGTTAGACTTTCACTTTGTTAACTTATCTCACATTTTTATACGTTTTTGTCTTTGTGTTTTTTGCTTCTTTGCAGGACCRCCCGTATTGTCCGAATCCATCCAAGGCACATTGGGCCGTTTGCCTTGTAATGTGACGCCGCCCATTTTGGAGGATCGCGTTGCACTTGTAATTTGGTTTAAAGTGGGTCTGAAGACGCCCATTTACAGGTGAGTGCAGATTAAGTTAAAATACGAAWTGCTAATTGTATGGAATGGTTAAATAAGACAAGAAGAAATGCTGTGCAAATGTTGCTTAAATCACAGGTTTTATGGTGCTGCTGAGCATTTCGGATCAGTCTCTCTGCGGCAGTGCTCTTTTTGCATTTAAAGTCGAAATCATCAGTGCATGTAAGTCCTGTTGTGGAGGAAAGAGTTTCAATATGTTCCAGACTTCCTAAACTTATCAAAAAGTTTGTCCAATTGAAGTTCATTTGCCTCAGAAAAACCCTATCATTTTATACAAATTATCTCAGTTTGTTAGGAACAGATCATCAATTTCCTCCTATTGTAGTCAATTCCTACATATCTTCGGATCCACATTGTAAGAATCATCACTCCTCGTTTTCAACTGGTTCAATGAAACTCGCTGCAGTTTACAAAACTCTAAAAAGGTAGGGTTAGGTTAATTCGGTAGGCCAATAAGCCACGCATAGGACAGTTTGGTCCTTCGCAATATCAGATGGAGTTCAGCTCGCTAAGTCCAAGTGATCATCGTTAGGATGGTAATTTTAACAGACTCTGCGTTCTCACTGGATACCTACTCCAGTTTGTCATACCTGCAGTCTTCCCGAWCTGCCAGCCACATCCTGMGGGCGTRTGTCACCACCAGACAGTGACCATTTAGTATTCCTATCATYTATCCTACAGTATCTTCTATCGAGTATSAATAGAAGTTTTGTGKACTTTCGATCTACCGTTTTGCCCATGAGATTTCCAGTCTTGCACCTAAGGAACTCGGGTTTTGATTTTCTTTACCATGCTACTGTCAAGATCGTCGTATATGTTTCCTAATGTTAATCACGTTTTCGGATGTTAGCCGCACATCATTCTCGACAACCTCGTCCACTATTTCATTGCTCTCGATGCCCTTATGGCCTTACACCCAGTAGAAGTGTACTCGTAGTTACTTACTTCTGACGCTGAAAAGGCTTAGAGCGTAAAGATCGGCAGGTTTCTTTATACGGTACCTAAAATTACTAAGCAGATCCTGAAATCAAAGTCCTAGACTATCATTCCCAGGTTAGATAGTAGGTCGACGTAACCAGAAAGGATTGGCAATTTTATTTAATCAAAGCCTACCAATTCGGCAACGTAAATCAATTTACTCTGGGATATGTTTTCTGCCATTACAATAACATCAACAGTATTGTTGGATTTTCTTTAGTTGTTAGAACTCACTTGCTATCTACCATCAGTAGCAGTCTGTTACTTTAAGAWCTGTTGTTGATGCTTTCTTGGCCCTCAAAAAGTTACCTGCCTTATCTAAGTCTATGCGGCGGATGTGAAACTCATTGACGGGAAAACAGCCACCAATATGAGTAAGTTCTTACTTGACTTCTAGCTGAGAATCAATAGGGGTGCCTCATAGATAGAAGGACTGTCCTTAATTGGGATCAAGGTGACGCTTCATAGCTCGCCCAAACCCAGTAATCGAGAGACCCAGTAATTAAGAGACTCGAAGTTCGAGCTCATCTCGCAACTGTGACATGCATATTCCTTTGTATTTATCAAATTTGTGAGTAGTTTACTGCAAAGGACTCAACAGGGACCTTAAACGTGAACTAGCATATTTTTGATGTTTTTCTAATCCAACTTGCGATCTGTAAAGAGATCGCAAGCTTAGAATCAGCTGGAAGAGAACTAATCTCCTAATAGGATATACGGAAATATTAGTATCTGTAAGCATGAACAAAAGAGAGATCTCTTGAAATACAACTCTAGAGTGGAAATTATGATGGCTGCCATAATTCCCACTCTGAATCTAACCTGGYTTCAGGCAACCTTACCAAAGACAGTATACTCAAAACACCTCAGTAAAATAAAAAGAAATATATTTTAAAGCTAAGCAAATATAATTGCGTCCCTGCTACTCCGAAATAAGTTGACTCAAAGTATAAAAACTGCACACAACAACACTATGCAAGACAGCTTGTGTACGCCACCGCCCAGATGGCAAGTGGCTGAGCAAAAACTTTAATTAAAATTTTGGGTAGCATATGCGCTTACAGCGGCACAGCTGGCAAAAAGGAAAGACAGTGCAGCAGTGAAAGATGAGCATAACAACACAAAAATAAGAGAAAGTCGTATACCAATAACAACAACTACAATAGTGAAATACACAATAAGTTGCGCAGAAGTAGAGCGAATGAAAGCAAGAAAACGAGCAGAATTTATTTAAACTAAAAGAGTTCGCAGCTGTTGCTGTTGCGGCCACTTGCATTGTTCCTATTGCTGCTGTTGTTTCTGTTTTTTTCGAAAATAATACTTAAAGGATAACAAGCACTTAGTCAAGTTCTTCAGCGGCCAATAAAAGAGAGATAATAAATCCGCTTAATTGAAGCGACGGCCACTATGTGCACGCACATACATACAAATATACATACACATRTATTTATAAAACGTTAATAAACAATCCGTTGTTATGTGGAAGAAATATTGAAAATGAAATTGAATATTTAAGAGCGCCACGTGCCATGGGAAGGTCTGTCTTGTGCGTCAGTTGATGTGTGTTTTACTTTTTTTGCTGTGGACAATTTTTTTGCGCAATCCCAAAAAAGTCTTGAAAGCCGATAACAGTAAGGTAAATATCTTAAAATAGCTTATCTTACCGACGAAGAGAAAGAGAGAGCACATTGCAGAGTTTAAACTAATTATAAATTAACTGTAGTTCTATTGATCGGCTGATGTTTCACTGATGAGTTTTATAAAGAGTTTTYCGATAATTTTGCTCGCATAATCTTTACAGAACGCATTGCGAGTAATTTTTGTAGTCATACCCTCACTAAATACAGCGCTATTTCTCTTTCTCTCTTAACATATTTGTTCAGGATTTCAGGATCTCTCAACATCTTGGGGGAATATAATTCGTAAAGTTCAATGTCTTCCTCAAATATTGAAAATATAAGACTCATGATGATTACTACTAACCTCAATGTGGCTTTTAAGATCATTCCTAGATCATTCTCCAAACCTCAGTTCTCATCCAGTCTCACGAAGAATGTATTCAGCAATTTAAACTCTGTCACTTCACATTTCTCCTTTTGTCTAAGTCCTAATTTGTCTAAGAGTGTCTTCGGTCAATGTTTGCCATGATTAAATGCCTACTGATTATCTCACTAAACGTCGCTGACGCTCTGGGGTTTGAAGTCTACTTCGAATCGAGCTTTGACGTTTGGTTTTACAATGTCGTCCTTGTTACTCTGTCGTTCAGCTGATCCCTGCCTTTTCTCTTCCAGTGAACCGCTGTCTTTTATTAACAATTCCATCCTAGTCATAACACGCTCGACCATTTTTTTGCCCAACCCAACTAAGTGCTTTTTGGACTTTCACCGCCGCTTTTGCTGCCAACCACTCTTTAATGGGTTTTTTCCTCGGCATAGACTTTATGGCCGACATTGCACCTTTGGCATTCCTCGAATAGTGTAGAAGAGCATTCTCCTCTGTAAAGTTAACGCCATCAAGGCTTTTGTGATTGGGGTATTCATGGACTGTAGCACTTCCACTTTTCAAAGCGGTTTTTGCTACTACTTTGGTACTTCAAACTTTGTGAACTGCTCCCTTCTCAGCAGAGATGTGGCCACTGACGATTGCCTGTGTTAACATCAACTCCCCCACCAACTTTTTGGCTGATATTTTATCTCGCTTTTCTTCCTTATCGCACTCCATGCTGAGTTTGSTTCTCAGGGAACCACTATACCCAGCGTTTTGCAGATGCAGCCCTGTACCTCATTAGTATTGCAGAGAGAGATATATACACTCTCCGCTAGAGTCGTATGTAAAGCAAGTTACCAGTAAGGGTGGTATGGAACCTTAGCAAGACGCTGCCGGTTCGCACCACCAATACTTCTTCTAGAAACTAGTTCAGATGCCAATCCACTGAACAGACGATACCCGTGCGGAGGATATAGCTAAGAAGATTTCTGCAGGAGTCAATATTAGAAAGAAGATTTTACTGACTGTTTGTAAACGGCGAAGTCTGTAGTACTTTAGTATAGAAAAACACTATTTTCTGCTATAAGATCCAGTTACGTATAAAAAAAAATAATATGATCTTATAATTCAGCGGATGTTGGATTGGCTTTCGAAAAGTGATTAACACGCTAAGCAGCGCTACCCCTAAGCATTTTTGTAGTATCTGTTTAGCAAGATGGATTTAAAAACCAACAAGAGACGCAATGCCATAACCCTTTCCTTTTCTTTGAGACTTCTAAAGGAGTAAATTGCYTTAACACRTTGGCTGCCAGTGTACCACCGGTGATAACAACAAAAATCTTCTTCCAGATGCCAAGCAAAACAATACATGTTGAGCTTTGGCCTAGGCGTGTATCATCGGTGATACATTGACACCGGGGGGTAGTTTTGTTGAAGTGATCACTTTGCGTWCTCCATATATAGCTTATATATCTGCCTTATTCTGAAGGTTCCAAATCCGCACAAACTTCTCTGAGACAGTCGTAGCTTGTAGAGGACATAATAAGTTCAATCTTCCACCCTTTCTGATTATACGCTTTTATGTAGTATAGCAATCGTCAAAGACTGGGAGAATTCTTAAAAAAAAAAACAACGAATAGTGGAAATCTAAGTGAATGACAAAGCTAACAGCGCCATTGACAACCCGCTCGGATTTTACAGTTTTTATAAAGACAAAAAAGTCTCGAGCCTTTTACACCAACACTTCACCCATTTACTTTCAGTCGACTACAGCTTAATGACTTCTTCAAAATGCCACAGTGTGTAATGAAGTGTCACTTTGTTGTTAGACGAGTATCACTTGCCAATCCACGCTACCCCACCACCTTCGGCTAGACTTGCGTTAATTTACTGTTAACTATATCTGAGCGCTCATTATTATACGCCAGGCATAGCCTTTAACGGTATGTTTGTGTGTGTGGAAGAGCGCACGTAAGTCACTTTGGAATTTAACATTTCGTCATCTCATCACAAAACTTAACCGCCATTGTCACTTTGCATACCAAAAAGCAGCAAAATAAAGAGCAAAAACCAAAGACACACACRCCCGCTGGCATTATTGGCCCGCCAGCGTTGCCAACTATAACAATAAAACGCCCCATTTCGCTGCTTCACAAGTTGTCACTTTGTCAAAAACTTTGGCACATTGTAGTCTGTGAACTCATCCCAACTGCCTTCCAGTTTTTGCCGCCTGGTGTCTTTGACTCTTGCGCCCCTCGCGCGCATACTCCGCTTACGCGTTCCTCCCACAATTGCGTCCTTTATTATCATTGTCGGCGGGTCGGTAGTCGGTAGTCGGTAGCACAGTAGCAGACGGACGTCACCCTCTAATGAGCTGCGGAACTATTCCGTACGCGTACTTGCACACGCTCGGCTGCTTGCGCGCTCTCTTTCACGCACACTCTCTACTTCGCTCGTGCCGCTGCCGATGAATTCCAATTAAGCTGCTTGGCATTTTAATTGATTTAAAGTAAAAGTTCGTTAGCTTTTTAGTCTACTCGGTGGTGGAAGACAGCTTGTGTCAGCGCCGGACTGCGACAATTTCGCTCGACATCAAGCAGTGTTTGATACTCGAGCACGTCAGCGCACTAATCAACTCTGGTCGGTACCTAAACTTCTCTGGAAGTAAGTAGCACAGTGCAATGAAGGTCTGCTGACACCCTCGTACCCAGTACTTCAACAATCGCTGTTCCATACAACTGTTTCCTATAAAACGGTGCTTGCTGTGAGACCTAACGCTGGAAAGTAGTTTATTTTCTTCCACGCTACAGCTCCAACTACGTTATTTAATGTCTTTTGCTATCCACCAATACTCGTATTATATTACTTGAACTTTTATTAGTTCGAAATTTTTATAAAATTTCCCTTTGTGTGCTAGTGCGTCTTCTTCTTCGACACTTTTTAACTGCTTCGTTTTTTCCTTTTTTCTTCTTTCATTTGCAGCGTCGATACGCGCGACTCAAACTTTGCAGATGGCACACACTGGTCCGATGAATCGTAYCGCGATCGCTTGTCCTTCTCCGTCGAGGGACGTTCGGGGACGCTGGCAATTAAGAAGACACGACAAGAGGATACGGGCGAGTATCGTTGCCGTGTTGACTTTCAAAAGAGTCCGACGCGCAACTCGAAAGTAAATTTAACTGTCATAAGTAAGTATAGCTGCTGTTGTTTTTGTAATCTATTATATGATATTCATTTGAGTAGTGTGTGTGTGTGTGTGAGAGAGAGCATTGAGGACAGTGCGTAAACTTTATTGGCAAATTAAATTAAGTTTTCTCTGCAATCAGCTCACTATTTGCCGTGTTGTTGTAACTTTAGTTTTCATTCTCCTCTCATTATTTAATTTAGTTAGGTASCTCGCTACGCCAGTAACTACCAAGGAGTGCTCTCAAGCGCAAAGGTGTGTGTGTTTGCAATTATTTAAAATTTTCGAATTTAATATCGTTGGCGTGCTTCGTCAGATGTAAAAACTGCAATGAAGTCGTAAGTAGTCGTAAAAGTGAAAAGTTTTATACAGTTGCGACTTGTAGTGTGTTGGGCAGTAAAAGAGTTGGGCATTAGAAATTTGAGAGTCAATTAAGAGAGTGCTTTCAAGTTGCAGTAAATTGTGAGTTAATGATAAAGCGATGTATGCAGGTTTGGTAGTTTAAATTGATTAAACGTTAAATGAGTGCTACGAAAGKTTTGGTGCTTTATTATTCTCGATTAATTAACATTTCAAGAATTATCGATAACTTTTTCAGAAAAAATTGATTTTAAAAAATATTAAAAATTGTTATTTAAAACAATATTACATTAATTGGATTTATCGATATTTTATTAATCGATATTTTTGCTTCAGTAATCGATAAAAATTGTGGGTTAATGACCAAGCAAGGCAAGTGTAAGTTTGGTAGTTTAATATGATTAAATATTAAATKAGTACTATGCAAGTTATGATATTTATTATTATCGATTAATTAACATTTTTGGAATTATGGACAATTTTTTCAGAAAAAATCGATTATATAAAAYATCAAAAAATTTTATTTAAATATTTGTCATTTTATTTCCATTTATCGATTTTTTTCTCCAGTAATCGATAATTATGAGTTTTCGATTACTAACACTAATTTTCTATTTGGTAAAACTATTATTTTAATTGAATAAATTCTATCAAAATTCCAAATTGTCAATTAAAGATGTTTTTTAAGCGATTTATAATTTTTTTAATAATTCGAATAGCTTTTAGATGTTTTTTTCTAATTCATACTTTATACATATGTTTAAATATCAGCTTTAAAATATAATATACATATATTGTGTAAAGCATTTAATTGAAATTAATCCAATATTTGGAATTATCGATTAATAGGTAGAGTTAATYGGATTATCGATAATAAATCGATAATTCAAAATGTATAGTTCAGTGAGGTGATAAATTAAGCTATTTCATTAAAAAATTATTACAGAATTTTATTGAAACGATTGGTTTTGCTAACACTCATCGACAAACTATAATCAGTTCTCTTTTCTTTATTGCGGACTTGATTTGACTAAATAAACACACTACTTAACCGGTGAAAAATTTGACTGGATATGAAAGTTGTAATTGCATTATAATGACCTGCTAGTTTGAATATAGCCGTGAAGGAAAAGCTTCTTGGAGGATATGAAAAAAAACTCGTAAGCGTTGCCACCTGTTTGAAAACTGTTAACTAAAAAAGTGGAAAACAAGAATATACTTGTAAAAACGACTACGAACTTACCAAGTGTAAAATAGCGTATTATTGAAAATATATTTATAAACATGGTTGCCACCTGTATAAAATACACAAGATATATATAAAATTACATTTATAAATTGAAAGAACTACTACAATATGGATATCAATGAAATGTAATTTTAAAGGTCTTGCATTCATTTTTTTAGGGTTGCCGCTATTTGAGATATTTGTTATAAACAATTTCGTTAAATAAATTTAATATCATTACGATTACGTCAAGTACAAAATATTGCAGCTGCATACTGTTAGAAATATTTTATAAACATGGTTGCCACCTGCCTAAAAGCACAAAGTATTTACATATGTATCTACATACAATTGTTCGAATACGAGAACTACAACAATATCGGTATCAAACTAATAAGGCTTAAAAGAGTTTTTTAAAGAGAAAGATTAACTTTCAATTAGGGATGCCACCTATTTGACAAATTTGTTTGCAAATAAATTGGCAAACAAGTCAATGTAATGATATTGCTTTTAAACAGAAATAATTAGAGGCGTACAAATTTTGTTAAAGAAGGTTGCCAYCTGTTTCAAAACTTTAATATACGCAATTGATCAAATAAGAGAATTACTACATTTTGAGTATCAATTAGTTTTTTTGGTAGAGCTTACAGCTGAATTTATTTTCAAGTGTGGTTGCCACCTATATGAAAAACTAAAATAATTATTTATCACGGAAAAGTCAGAAAACTTCYTTTTTAATGCATCTAAAATTCAAAAATATTCACACACAAATGCTTATTTATGCTTCACTACAAAATCATTGAAAATTGCGCACAACCACAAATGCTCATCGTCAAGGCAATAAATGCCAAATCAAAAAGTTTAATATTTCACCAAATTACGCACACAAGTTAAGCGTAAAAAACTCATTTCACTTCAACACACTTTCGTTTCATCTCGGTGCTGTGCCGAAATAAATTCGCCGATATAACGGTAAAAATAAATTTTAATAAATACATGACACAAAGCGACTAACAAGCTCCTTTTAGTGGTCACAAAGGTAGCAAAGTAAACTTTTATAGGTCAAAATATGTGGAAGATGAAKATTTAATGCCCACACACATTCATACATACACATTTGTAAATATATTATATATAATGCACACACGTATACATATGTGCATAGTTTCAACTCGTTTGCTGTTGATAAAGAGTACACGCTTCGGTGTGTGTGTGCGGCATGAACATTTTGCACTTTTCWTTCACCTAAATAAGAACCAACTTTTKTGCTGACTTTCAAGGATAGAGAACCTAGAAGACTCGAAGCTGCTGCAGCATTTAGTTTCACTCTTTGTTTTTTTTTTTTGGCTACCTGCACTTCCTTATAAATTTAGCGAAACAGTAGAAAGTTTTGAGTGAAATTTGTTTTGGTTAGTTGAGCTGGTGAAAGTGTTGCCAACTACTGCGGAAGACAAACTAAACAACAGTTGGCAGTGTGCAGCTCGGAAAATAGTAGAGAAGTTGGACTAGGCAGCAGACCGTTCAGCGTAACGGAAATGAAAGCTTGTGGCGACTGATTGCATAACCTTTTGTAATATGGTAGTGTGCCACATTAAAAAGCTTTGTAAATAGTTTAAGATTCACACTAGGATGAATTTAGGAGCAGGGATAACAGGGGCGAGTCTGCTAAAGTTGGGTGGATATAGAAAAACAGAGTCACTAAGTGTGCGTTGATAATAAAAATATTTCTGTTTTCATGCTAGGCTTAAGAAAATATTTTTTAGAATTCTTCGACAAAGTATACAAATTAGTGGGGTTGCCAACTGCTGAAAAATTATATGAAATATTACAAACAAACTTACAAAAATTTATAAAATGTTTCAAAAAATATAACAACTAAATATTTTTTACTTAAAACTATTTGCATTCATATTTATTCATATACAATTATTTTAGAATTGCCACTTTTTTGAAAAAAAAATAAAATAAAATAAAAATGTGGAAGAAATTTAATAGTTCAAAAGGAACAAAAACTCAGCATTCATTTAAACAGAGTTGCCAAATATTTTTTAAATCTGTTTTTAAAAAGGTGGCAACTCCAAAAAAATGTATTAATAAAATCTGAAACTGCAAGCAGAACAATATTTTTACTTATTAACTAATATTTATTGTATTAATATGTATTGAGGCGTATAYATTTACACACTATTATACCCAAGCAGAGTTGCCATAAAGCATTTTAAATACTTAATATTTATTAATTTCATAAATATTTTTTGAAAAATTTTATAATCAAGTTAAAAAAATATTGAAAATTGTTTTTCTGATTTATGGGTTGCCATATTTTCAAAATTTTTTTATAGAAAAAAAACTGTTAAATATGTATGTTGTGCTATTTTTCTTATTTGAACTATTGAACTTAAGCCAAATGAGCCATAAATGGTAACTTGTAAATTAGAGTTGCCATACAATTTAATTTTTGTTTTAATTTTTCAACCATTTTCCAAGACATTTTAACCTTAGTCAAGTTAAAAAAAAAGTTATCTCATATATATTTACATACATACATATATGTATGTACATGTTGCCATATCTTCTAAATTTTTTGATAGAAATAATGCATTAATATGATTATTGTACTATTTTTGCTGTGAACTAATAAATTTTTATCAGATGTGCCAGAAATAGTATCAGCTAAAAGAAATTCTTAACTAGAGTTGCCATGCAATTTGGCAAAATAAATTAAACAATTTTTTTATGTTTAATTTTTATTAATTTCTAATTTTATTTTGACATAAAATTTAAATTTTATTTTTTAATTATTTATAACGGTACTTTTTTTGTAATTTCATTAATATTTTTCATTTGAAGAGGTATGAAAATTC